AACTCCACTTATAGTAGTTGTTTCGACCACTGCTGCATCGCTTGTTGGTCAGGCTGTTAGTAGCGTCGATGTTTGTTTCTCAGCAATTACTAAAACTCGGCTTGACTGGGCCATGCGAACTCATATTTGGGTTCGGGTTCGAGCTGCGAAGGTAGTGCTATCGGTACAAATGAGGTTTCAGGCGTTACGTTTAAGACTGATAACTTCCACGAAGCATCAAAATTTCATGATGACGAGCATGGAAGCAATGAGCGCCCCTTCGCTTCCTGAACCCTGCTCGTGTTTTCAGTTTCTAACTCCAAGCAAGATCTCAGCTCCTTTTCAGTCAGTAACGCTCTTCGGTCCTCTCCATATGACCTATGCCACTGAAAATGCCGTTTGTAGCAAGAGGTCGTTCATTAAGAAGTCAGAAATTGAAGGATTCTTCGCTTTCAAATTGAAAAAAAAAACAGCAAAGACATTCCACAGTAGCCCACGGTGTCAGCCCAACGGCAACCAGTTGTTGATTAGGTTGTTAGTATTGTCCATTCTCGAGAACTGCTTATAATGCCGATCGCGACTTCCGATGGCGAAACCGAATAAACAAATCGTAGAAGAATTGGTTATCTCAGTGGCATAGCTATTTGTTAAGAATTCCCAGCCCCTAATAAGGACGACTGCTTGAAAAGCGAGAGTGTTTTTAGCTAAAACATCAAATCTTATAAAATTTTGAAAATCGCTTGTTTCTAGTTCTATTTTATTTGTAGCCGTAAGCGTGCTGCTTATTATTATGTTTAGTAGTTCGTGGTATTATTGAAGTTTTTATCATCATCGTTGTTGTTATTGCTGCTGCTATTATTATCATTATTATTACTTTTGTTATTACGTCATTACTACTATTTTTATCGATCTGTTTATTACTGTCCACTCAACCAAATATCATCACTGGCATGGTTATCAACAAATTAATTGATGTACAGCACGAAATGCGTTACAATTGCGAGAAATGTGCTGCTTTTCGGCGCTAATAAAAGTTAGGTTCAGCTGAAATTCCATGCATCGTTTTGGATCGGACGAAATGGATGCTCCGAAGCTGTTGGTTGGCTTGATATGCAGCGACGCTGAATTGGTTGAGTATTACGTGCGGCTGATCACTGAAATTAAACGCTTCTGCCTGAAGGGTAGGCCAACTTATCCGAGCACTCGATGGCCCCTCGTAATTCATTGTACTGCTACCATTAGCTGGAAACGCCTAGGGTCTTGGTGTGGAAACAACGGCTGGGACAAGGTGGTGTTGCTCAGTACATATCAGCGACATCTCGGCTTATGCCTTAGCATTTGCTTTCTTGAAACAACCGTTGGGCTGGTAATCTTTTTAGGAAACGAAATGAGCATCGCGATCACCACTGAGCCGCAACTGCTTAAACTCGGCCCTGGCTCGGCTCACTCCCTCCGGCGTCATATACGAATCACGAAAATTGTTATTGACGATGTGTGTGGCGATGGGTCCACCCATGTGCAGTAAAGTTATCCGCCTACACTATGAAAAATTTTTCCAATTCGCGTATGACGCCGGCCGAGCCGAGTTCTGGAGGTCGTTGCTGCTAGCTGCACCGTTTGAGATTTAGATTTTAAATTGCAGTTCGTTAAAATCAGAACCTCATCCATATGTCGCTCCCAGTGAGAGGCGGAGGCACTCGAAAAATAGTCCAATTGATGGCAAGCACTCTTTGGCAAAACTGTTCATTGGTTGCTTACAGGCAAGCTGATGGCACTTATCAAAGTATTCTAAGTAAAATAAGATCCTGCGTGTTGGAGTTCTTCATTCAGTGAGGACTTGTTACTGTGCTGATATGAGTTGCCGTCATAATGCTAGTTTATGTATACGAGCAGCAGTACTGGGAGGGCTAAAACGGAGACTGGGATGGGCTTCACGAAAAACTCTGAATTCACAGAGAGGTTATTTTCTGGAGCGAATTATGAGAAGTCAGTTTTAAGTCTTTTTTTACTCTGACTTGTGAATGCAGTGGGTTCACCATGGTATTGATACGATACAAAAGGTCTCATTGAACAACTGACTTATTAAAAATCAAAGTGAGTCATCAAATAAATATGATACACACTTCGAACGTCCATCACGAGAGTATGCAAGTGATTCACAGAATGAAATAAATTCGATTTTTTGGGCCTTTCTCGTAGCACCAGCAACCTTCTTAAAAACTGCTCGATCTTCCGATTTGTTAATTTTAGCGATTTGGTGCCCGGACACGGAGCGCAGTATTCAGATAGCAGCTGATAACGATGTC